GAGAGATGTGTGTGTTTGTTGGCCACCACAGGCAGAGAGATGTGTGTGTTTTGTTGGCCACCACAGGCAGAGAGATGTGTGTGTGTTTGTTGGCCACCACAGGCAGAGAGATGTGTGTGTTTGTTGGCCACCACAGGCAGAGAGATGTGTGTGTTTGTTGGCCACCACAGGCAGAGAGATGTGTGTGTTTGTTGGCCACACCACAGACAGAGAGATGTGTGTGTTTGTTGGCCACCACAGGCAGAGAGATGTGTGTGTTTGTTGGCCACACCACAGACAGAGAGATGTGTGTGTTTGTTGGCCACCACAGACAGAGAGATGTGTGTGTTTGTTGGCCACCACAGGCAGAGAGATGTGTGTGTTTGTTGGCCACCACAGACAGAGAGATGTGTGTGTGTTTGTTGGCCACCACAGACAGAGAGATGTGTGTGTTTGTTGGCCACACCACAGACAGAGAGATGTGTGTGTTTGTTGGCCCACCACAGACAGAGAGATGTGTGTGTTTTGGTTGGCCACACCACAGACAGAGAGAGTGTGTGTGTTTGTTGGCCACCACAGACAGAGAGATGTGTGTGTTTGTTGGGCCACCACAGGCAGAGAGATGGGTGTGTTTGTTGGCCACCACAGACAGAGAGATGTGTGTGTGTTTGTTGGCCACCACGGCAGAGAGATGTGTGTGTTTGTTGGCCACCAACAGACAGAGAGATGTGTGTGTTGTTGGCCACCACAGACAGAGAGATGTGTGTGTTTGTTGGCCACACAGGCAGAGAGATGTGTGTGTTTGTTGGCCACCACAGGCAGAGAGAGTGTGTGTTTGTTGGCCACCACAGACAGAGAGATGTGTGTGTTTGTTGGCCACCACAGACAGAGAGATGTGTGTGTTTGTTGGCCACCACAGACAGAGAGATGTGTGTGTTTGTTGGCCCCACAGGCAGAGAGATGTGTGTGTTTGTTGGCCACCACAGACAGAGAGATGTGTGTGTGTTTGTTGGCCACCACAGGCAGAGAGATGTGTGTGTTTGTTGGCCACCACAGACAGAGAGATGTGTGTGTTTGTTGGCCACCACAGACAGAGAGATGTGTGTGTTTGTTGGCCACCACAGGCAGAGAGATGTGTGTGTTTGTTGGCCACCACAGGCAGAGAGATGTGTGTGTTTGTTGGCCACCACAGACAGAGAGATGTGTGTGTTTGTTGGCCACCACAGACAGAGAGATGTGTGTGTGTTTGTTGGCCACCACAGACAGAGAGATATGTGTGTGTTTGTTGGCCACCACAGACAGAGAGATGTGTGTGTTTGTTGGCCACCACAGACAGAGAGATGTGTGTGTTTGTTGGCCACACCACAGACAGAGAGATGTGTGTGTTTGTTGGCCACCACAGACAGAGAGATGTGTGTGTGTTTGTTGGCCACCACAGACAGAGAGATGTGTGTGTGTTTGTTGGCCACCACAGACAGAGAGATGTGTGTGTGTTTGTTGGCCACCACAGACAGAGAGATATGTGTGTGTGTTTGTTGGCCACACCACAGACAGAGAGATGTGTGTGTTTGTTGGCCACACCACAGACAGAGAGATGTGTGTGTTTGTTGGCCACCACAGACAGAGAGATGTGTGTGTGTTTGTTGGCCACCACAGACAGAGAGATGTGTGTGTTTGTTGGCCACACCACAGACAGAGAGATGTGTGTGTTTGTTGGCCACACCACAGACAGAGAGATGTGTGTGTTTGTTGGCCACACCACAGGCAGAGAGATGTGTGTGTTTGTTGGCCACCACAGACAGAGAGATGTGTGTGTTTGTTGGCCACACCACAGACAGAGAGATGTGTGTGTTTGTTGGCCACACCACAGGCAGAGAGATGTGTGTGTTTGTTGGCCACCACAGACAGAGAGATGTGTGTGTTTGTTGGCCACACCACAGACAGAGAGATGTGTGTGTTTGTTGGCCACACCACAGACAGAGAGATGTGTGTGTTTGTTGGCCACCACAGGCAGAGAGATGTGTGTGTTTGTTGGCCACCACAGACAGAGAGATGTGTGTGTTTGTTGGCCACACCACAGACAGAGAGATGTGTGTGTTTGTTGGCCACCACAGGCAGAGAGATGTGTGTGTTTGTTGGCCACCACAGACAGAGAGATGTGTGTGTTTGTTGGCCACCACAGGCAGAGAGATGTGTGTGTGTTTGTTGGCCACCACAGACAGAGAGATGTGTGTGTTTGTTGGCCACCATAGGCAGAGAGATGTGTGTGTGTTTGTTGGCCACCACAGACAGAGAGATGTGTGTGTTTGTTGGCCACCACAGACAGAGAGATGTGTGTGTGTTTGTTGGCCACCACAGGCAGAGAGATGTGTGTGTTTGTTGGCCACCACAGGCAGAGAGATGTGTGTGTGTTTGTTGGCCACCACAGGCAGAGAGATGTGTGTGTTTGTTGGCCACCACAGGCAGAGAGATGTGTGTGTGTTTGTTGGCCACCACAGGCAGAGAGATGTGTGTTTGTTGGCCACCACAGGCAGAGAGATGTGTGTGTTTGTTGGCCACCACAGGCAGAGAGATGTGTGTGTTTGTTGGCCACCACAGGCAGAGAGATGTGTGTGTTTGTTGGCCACCACAGGCAGAGAGATGTGTGTGTTTGTTGGCCACCACAGGCAGAGAGATGTGTGTGTTTGTTGGCCACCACAGACAGAGAGATGTGTGTGTGTTTGTTTGGCCACCACAGGCAGAGAGATGTGTGTTTGTTGGCCACCACAGGCAGAGAGATGTGTGTGTTTGTTGGCCACCACAGGCAGAGAGATGTGTGTGTTTGTTGGCCACCACAGACAGAGAGATGTGTGTGTGTTTGTTGGCCACCACAGACAGAGAGATGTGTGTGTTTGTTGGCCACCACAGGCAGAGAGATGTGTGTGTTTGTTGGCCACCATAGGCAGAGAGATGTGTGTGTTTGTTGGCCACCACAGACAGAGAGATATGTGTGTGTGTTTGTTGGCCACCACAGACAGAGAGATGTGTGTGTTTGTTGGCCACCACAGGCAGAGAGATGTGTGTGTTTGTTGGCCACCACAGACAGAGAGATGTGTGTGTTTGTTGGCCACACCACAGACAGAGAGATGTGTGTGTTTGTTGGCCACCACAGGCAGAGAGATGTGTGTGTTTGTTGGCCACCACAGGCAGAGAGATGTGTGTGTGTTTGTTGGCCACCACAGGCAGAGAGATGTGTGTGTTTGTTGGCCACCACAGGCAGAGAGATGTGTGTGTGTTTGTTGGCCACCACAGACAGAGAGATGTGGTGTGTTTGTTGGCCACCACAGACAGAGAGATGTGTGTGTGTTTGTTGGCCACCACAGACAGAGAGATGTGTGTGTGTTTGTTGGCCACCACAGACAGAGAGATGTGTGTGTGTTTGTTGGCCACCACAGACAGAGAGATGTGTGTGTGTTTGTTGGCCACCACAGACAGAGAGATGTGTGTGTGTTTGTTGGCCACCACAGGCAGAGAGATGTGTGTGTGTTTGTTGGCCACCACAGACAGAGAGATGTGTGTGTTTGTTGGCCACCACAGACAGAGAGATGTGTGTGTTTGTTGGCCACCACAGACAGAGAGATGTGTGTGTTTGTTGGCCACCACAGGCAGAGAGATGTGTGTGTGTTTGTTGGCCACCACAGACAGAGAGATGTGTGTGTTTGTTGGCCACCACAGACAGAGAGATGTGTGTGTGTTTGTTGGCCACCACAGACAGAGAGATGTGTGTGTGTTTGTTGGCCACCACAGACAGAGAGATGTGTGTGTTTGTTGGCCACCACAGACAGAGAGATGTGTGTGTGTTTGTTGGCCACCACAGGCAGAGAGATGTGTGTGTTTGTTGGCCACCACAGACAGAGAGATGTGTGTGTGTTTGTTGGCCACCACAGACAGAGAGATGTGTGTGTGTTTGTTGGCCACCACAGACAGAGAGATGTGTGTGTTTGTTGGCCACACCACAGACAGAGAGATGTGTGTGTTTGTTGGCCACCACAGGCAGAGAGATGTGTGTGTTTGTTGGCCACACCACAGACAGAGAGATGTGTGTGTGTTTGTTGGCCACCACAGGCAGAGAGATGTGTGTGTTTGTTGGCCACCACAGACAGAGAGATGTGTGTGTGTTTGTTGGCCACCACAGACAGAGAGATGTGTGTGTGTTTGTTGGCCACCACAGGCAGAGAGATGTGTGTGTTTGTTGGCCACACCACAGGCAGAGAGATGTGTGTGTTTGTTGGCCACACCACAGCCACAGACAGAGAGATTGTGTGTTTGTTGGCCACCACAGGCAGAGAGATGGTTGTGTTGTTGGCCACCACAGACAGAGAGATGTGTGGTGTTTTGTTGGCCACCACAGGCAGAGAGATGTGTGTGTTTGTTGGCCACCACAGACAGAGAGATGTGTGTGTTTGTTGGCCACCACAGACAGAGAGATGTGGGTGTTTGTTGGCCACCACAGAACAGAGAATGTGTTTGTTTGTTGGCCACCACAGACAGAGAGATGTTGTGTTTTGTTGGCCACCACAGGCAGAGAGATGTGGTGTGTTGTTGGCCACCACAGACAGAGAGATGTGTGTTTGTTTGGCCCCACAGACAGAGAGTGTGTGTGTTGTTGGCCACCACAGGCAGAGAGATGTGTGTGTTTGTTGGCCACCACAGACAGAGAGATGTGTGTGTTTGTTGGCCACCACAGACAGAGAGATGTGTGTGTTTGTTGGCCACCACAGACAGAGAGATGTGTGTGTTTGTTGGCCACCACAGACAGAGAGATGTGTGTGTTTCCTGCATCAGATCAACATTGATTGCCAATACCTTGTTTGGAAGGACATCTTTTTTTCTCATCTCCGAAATCTCGATCTCTTTTCCGTGTGCCTGGCTCTCATGGTGCTTATATCTTTTCCCGCAGGTTCTTCTGTTGATGACTGCGGACTTCCCCCTGAACCCATTCCTGTGAAAGGTGCACTCCGGAGGATCTGCGAGCTCCAGGGAGATCAATATACGTTTTGCCTCTTTGCAAATCTCACATCCATTTTGTATTTGTTTTGAAAAGCCAGGGATAGCTTTCATTCCACTCCATCTTCCCTGTGTCCGGTCAAAAGGCAGTCAGCAGAGGCAGGCCTCTCCCTCGGGGTGGAGCTGCCAAACTCGACCCTAACGCCGCTTACAGCCGGCTAAAAGTAGTTCCGTTCACGTTGTCATTTTTAGACTCCTTCGCTTCTTTGCTTGTGAATCCAAAAGCTGCGACGCTTGGCTGTTTTCGTTTCGCAATCTTTTTTATTACAAAGCCAGAGTTACAAAAATATCAATATGAACATTTCAAATAGCGCGCCGGCATCGGCCACCGTAACCATAGCAACGTAAGTAGCGTAAAGAATGCAGCGCCGCCACGTACAGATGGCAACACCCAGAAATATTCACAAATATTCAGAAACTGTAATGAACAATAACTATTATTTATTATTATTTAGGGCAGATAGCTTTTAGATGTGCGGCTCCTCTGTCTTGGAACAGTCTGCAATTGAAATGGAAACTGAGCAATCTGGTGCCGCTAAATGTTTGGAAAGCTCGGTTGGATGCTGTTGGTACCTGTTCATGTGGATAGTTATGTACACTGTAATCCCTCTAATGATGCTGTATGATGTGCTTTTTATTGTTCTGTTTATGTTTTTATGTTTCATGTGGAACCTACTTCACCTGAGGCCTGTGCTACGAAGCTGGTTCAACCTAACCTGGATATGTTTGAGTTAGCCGGTTGGCCCAATCCAAAACATACGCGCTCTCGCTAAGCTGAACTACGACGCTGGTTATCAAGTGGATCGCTCAAGCCAGCCGTGTCCTATCTAGTTAGGTGCGCGTTCACATGAAAGGGGTGGTATCTGGAGCATTCGACCAATCACAAACATGGACAAGCGTACTGACAGCGCAGCGTCATACTTCCTGAATGAAAAGTGAACTTTAATATTAGTCAAATATGAAGAAGTTAAACTTTAAACATCCATGACTTAAACACTTTATCCAGGATCAAAGCCACATAGCTGCACCTGCAAGGTGAATACAGCTGGTAACAGAAAAAGTGTTTGAATGCGTACATTAACAGGTTTATGATATCACTGCTCCGTCTAAGACACGATCTGACTTTCATTACATTTGACTCGAGTGTTTCGTCAACTTAATGTGTTGCTTAAAATAATACTTCTGCATCCAGTATGTGACACTGTGAGTGTTGCACGGCCAGATACGGCACAGCTGACTCAGATAAGGAGATATATGATACATTATGATGTGATATGATATGAATGATAATGGGACACATCGACGTCTGCACTCACAGTGCCGCGGACTGTACTTAATGTTACTCTGATCCGGTTACTTATGTTGTGGCAGATATTTAAGTAAGCTTTCTTAACGCTAATGTTATAATAGTCAGATTGCTCTGAAGATGGGAGGGGATATTCTATTAATGTTCACGTTCACACAGTCAGGTGATTTTTGCCGGCCGTCTTTCCTGCAACGGCAGTTTTTCTGTATTTCCTCTATCCTGTAATATGACTTGATCTTTAAACTCCGCACACGGAGCTCTGATCCAGCTTCGTAGTACAGGCCTCTGGTCTCCCTTGAAAAAGAGATCAATGATCTCAATGGGATTCACCTGGATCAATAAAGGTTTGAAATTAAGATTGATTTACAGAAACTCAACATTTCTAATCTGACACCAATATGCGGCTCCAGCCAGGGGGGGGGGGCTCCCCCTTCCCGCGTGCCTGAATATAAGAGTAAGAAATGAAATACAGTTATGAAATACTATATGCGGGTTGCACTGTGTGGGGGGGGGGGGTTGCAGGTGCACTGTGTGGGGGGGGTTGCAGTAGAACATTCCACTGCAGCACCCGGTACCTTAGTGGGAAACCCTACCTGTAAACTGTCCGAGACAAAAAAAAGCCCGTAGTTCTGTTGCCGGGTTTAACAGGTTAATGAAGCTAAGCTAGGCTAGGCTAAGCTAAGCTAGGCTAGGCTAAGCTAACAGTCCCCCTGCTTCCTCTTGGTGAAACACAGTTACACACGTTCATAGTTTGAATGTCTTTATAAGATGGATTCATACAGAAATACAAAATAAACAGGATGTTCATCAGATCTGCTCTCCCTCCTCCAGATGATCAGCGGGCCTCAGAAGTCTTTGTAATGCAGCAGCCTACACACACACACACACACACACACACACACACACACACACACACACACACACACACACACACACACACACACACACACACACACACACACACACACACCACACACACACACACACACACACACACACACACACACCACACACACACACACACACACACACACACACACACACACACACACACACACACACACACACACACACACACACACACACACAATGAATTAATATAAAATAACAGTTTTAAAAAGCTGCCCTGATGTTTCTACGACTAAAAACTTAAATATTATTTTACATTTTCCCCGTCTGTTAACCAACGTCAGCTAACTATGGAAAATATAATTATAAATTATTATAATTCTAAATAAAACATTTCTTAATTTGTATTTACTCAAAATATAATATAATATTATTAATAAAACATTTCTAATTCAATCTTTGAGTTGTATTTTTATTTTATGTTTAAATCTGGAAGAACTTTTATTTAGTTATTGATATTTTTATTGGATATTTTTAATTTTCCTGAAGTTTTAATTATTACCAGATAAGGACAGTTTAGCTTTATTTCAAACCTACCGACCCCCTAGTGGCACACACAGGTAGTACAGCTATATCGTGAACACAAAGCAGCTGATTGGCTGACCTGAAGAGAGGGGCGTGTCCCTTGTTGTTGGCCAATGAGAAGAAGCCGCTGTGAGGGGAGAAGTCGAGGCTCGAGGCTCGATACACGATCTTCCTCTTTGAGACGGGGAAGTTCGAGAAAACACTGAGGGAGGGGAGGTGAAGCTGGAGGGGGGGGGGAGGGGGGGTTAATATCATCATCATCATCATCATCATCATCATCATCACCCATCATCCTATAACACCCCTTGTTGTTAAATACCAAATATGTGCAATATATATATATATATATATATATATGCCGTATATAGAGTGGTGAAGGAATGAGTCCTAAAACCAGGAAGTGAGTCAGCATTTCACCACTTCCTGTTCCCTCGTCTCAGAGCCAATGGGATCTCTCCATAGGGTTTAGGAAAATAGCTGAAATAAGGTCTGTGGTTGAGACACATTGAAGAGACGGATCACGTTTTGTTCGAGGACATTAAATCCATCAGCAGTGACCCCACTGGTGATTTCTGAAGAGTTGACGTGTCTGAAAAACGATGGTTGTTACCAAGTGGCTGAATAGGACTACAGAAGTCGTGGAGGTCGTTGTACGTCATTACGCCGAACACGTGAACACTCCTCTAAGTTAGTTTCTGTTCTGCTTGAAAGCAAGTCCCTGCCTCCTGCAAACTGTTCAAACAAACGCTTCAACTCGTACAGTTTAGAATCTGTGTGTTTGAATATGGATCTGAAGTTGGCGTGACGTTGAAGTCGTGCTGCTGGACTCGGCTGTAGCTCCTTTATAGCATAACGTTAGCATTTAGCTTCTGGCGACTAGATTTATGATTAGAACATTATAAAAGAAGACATGTGGAGATGATCCGGCTGAACAAAACGTGCATTTATCAAACAGGTTCACTTTCCACAGACCTTATATGTTATGCTACGGACAAAAGGTTTATTATTATTCCGACTTATTTTGTCCGTCTTCTCCTCCCACATTCAACATCGCAGAAACTCCGTTCAAACATCAAAACGTTCAGCTCGGTCGGGAATCGCAGGCTATTACTTTTATCATTCATAACTTTCATAATTCCAGAGATACATCCCATAATACATCATATTTTTAACATTGAAGTCAATGGAGATATTCTTCAGACTTCAACAAATCTTCATGCGACTTCAACTGCTAACTGTTCCTTCATACTTTCACTCAGAAACCTCATTCCAACTTTAAAATGTTGCACATCTTTCTGACATTATCCGTGTAACACAACTTTTAAATCTGATTCTTACTTTTAGAGATATTAAACATTGTTCAGACCTTGTTAAAGAGGCTTTCTTCAGATTTTAACATTAACTAGAGTGCGTGATGTCACAGCTAGAGGGTAGGAAATCTTGAAATGTGCCCAAACCCTACATTCCTGAGACATAACTTTTCATGACAAACGTAGGAAAACATCTCGTAGCTTGAAAAATGACAAATAATTAAGCAAAAAATAATTAAACAAAATGCCTCTTGAGGGCATGAAGTGACAAAAACGTTCAACATGTCTCCATTAAAGCCCATTGTAATTTCAGGCAGATATTTCCTCACAGCAGCAGCCGCACACCTTTAGTTAAACTGCCAAAAAGGCCACATTATTAACCCGAAAGTACACAAAAATTACACTTCAGATACTCAACTTCCTTGACATGCTTCAGGTTTTGAAATTTCACAGATATCTGTTATCGTTCTTCCACAAAACGTTCACATGTAAGAGGTTTATCTGTCATTCAGAACAATGCAAACCTTTGATCTCTACAGAGCTCGTTAGCTCAACTATAAACACCTGTGTAATGGAACACGATGATGTCATCGCTCCAACTGACAGCAGTCAAATCTCTCTCTCTCTCTCTCTCTCTGTTTAAAAAGTGCTCAAACTTCACATGTGTGCTAACAGTCCAGCCGTGAAGACATCTACGAGACAGTTTTGAGATTTCTTCAAATGCCGTTGCCATGGCGACAGACCACTCGCCATGAAGCACGATGTCGCTGTAACTCCAATGGACACGGTCCGATCGTCCCCAAACTTCGCTTGTATATCACCGGTCCATGCCTCAACCGCTCTACGCCAAATCTGAGATCTCACCATAAGCTGTTTCCATGGAAACGCATCCCTCGCCATAAAACACGATGTTGTCGTGATACCTATGCAAATGATCCAAACACCACCAGACTTCAGATGACAGTTAATGGTCCAGCCCTCAACATGTCTATATACCATTAGTGAGTTTTCCTCAAAAGCTGTTGCCATGGCAACGCATCCCTTGCAATAAAACACGATATTGCTATAACTCCTATGAAAATTGTCAAAAAGTGCTAAAACTTCACGTGTGCTAACAGTCCAGCCGTGAAGACATCTACGGGACAGTTTTGAGATTTCTTCAAATGCCGTTGCCATGGCGACAGATCATTCACCATCAAGTTAGTTCAAAGGTTTGCAGTTCAAATATTCTGCTGCTTTTCCAAGCCTTTTTACTCTCTTTTCTCTCATCACACATTCAAGCCCCCAGTGTTCATGTATCATTTCAATCTCAATTCTTCACTTCTTACACATTACTTTTCAGCATAAAGCATTCCCACTAGCAATTTCTTCAGGAATTGCATTCTCTAGTTTCTTACAATATTCCAGAACCCTTTAGTGGAGGGAACAGCAGCTTCCTGCTACAGAGACACGTCCTCCTGCTCTGCTCTCTACCTGAGTAACTCACACCTGGCTGCTCTGCCCTCTGATCAGCTACAGAGACACGTCCTCCTGCTCTGCCCTCTGATCAGCTACAGAGACACGTCCTCCTGCTCTGCTCTCTACCTGAGTAACTCACACCTGGCTGCTCTGCCCTCTGATCAGCTACAGAGACACGTCCTCCTGCTCTGCTCTCTACCTGAGTAACTCACACCTGGCTGCTCTGCCCTCTGATCAGCGACAGAGACACGTCCTCCTGCTCCGCCCTCTGATCAGCTACAGGATGTGTCTTTAGTCAATTGTGTAATCTTTTGTATTTTTTCATCTTTAATATTTTGTAAGTCTGTGGCTCTTTCTGCTGGAACAATGTGTGTTTCCCCTCAGGGGGACTGATGAAGGTATTCTGATCATCATCATCACCATCACCACCACCATCATCATCATCACCATCAGTATATGAATCCCTCACCATGCGCACCGCCTCGTCCTCGCTGCGGGAGGCCATAGCCAGGATCTCTGAGGAGGGGTTAAAGGTCAGCGCGGTGACCGGGGTCAGCAGGTTCATCACAGCCTTCAGGGGGCGGGGCTTATCCGAGCGGAGACACGCCTCCTGAGAGTAAACGTTTACCACGCCCGACTGAGACCTAAACAACAACAAATATTATGAAAGAAAAAACTACAAATCTCAGGATTAAAGATTTGTATTTATAAGAAGTACTTTATTGATTATATATTATTATTTAGAGATATCAAGGTCTTAAACATACAAGAAAGATCTGTGGATGCTAAGCTATCAGCCAATCAGAGGGCAGCGTGCAGAGGGGGCAGGGCTTACCCGCAGGCCAGGTAGCGTCCGTCTCTGGAGGCGGCGATGGAGGTCCCCGTAACACACCCTTCATCAGAAAACCTGCTCACACACCGAGAGCTGCGCAGGTCCCACACATACACCTCACCCTCCTCTAGAGAGAGAGAGAGACAGAGACAGAGACAGAGAGAGACAGAGACAGAGACAGAGAGAGACAGAGACAGAGAGAGAGAGAGACAGAGACAGAGACAGAGACAGAGACAGAGACAGAGAGAGAGAGAGACAGAGAGAGAGAGAGAGAGAGACAGAGACAGAGAGAGAGAGACAGAGACAGAGACAGAGAGACAGAGAGACAGAGACAGAGAGAGAGAGAGAGAGACAGAGAGAGACAGAGAGACAGAGACAGAGACAGAGAGACAGAGACAGAGACAGAGAGAGAGAGAGAGAGAGAGAGACAGAGAGAGACAGAGACAGAGACAGAGAGACAGAGAGAGAGAGAGAGAGAGAGAGACAGAGAGACAGAGACAGAGACAGAGACAGAGAGACAGAGACAGAGACAGAGACAGAGAGAGAGAGAGAGAGAGAGAGAGAGAGACAGAGACAGAGAGAGACAGAGACAGAGACAGAGAGAGAGAGAGAGAGAGAGAGAGAGAGACTCTGATTAGTCACATGACTGACAGGAAGTTGTGGTGCTCTGACTCCTCTACACAGGACTCAGTTTCCCACAATGCATCAGGAGTAAACTATATTAAGACAAATCGCTCTGCACCAAACTTTTAAATTCTTGAGTTTTTAACTTGATCATTTATTCACTTATTTATTCACTTATTTATTGTGATGCTCTGAACTACTTCTGGTGTAAACTGGAATGATCCACATCCTGTATCTGAGTGTGTCCTCCTGCCTGGGTTCATGACAGAAGCTACGCATAATCTATTGCTGCTTGCAGGATTAATACAGTTGTTGATTGATTGATTGATTGATTGATTGATTGACACCTGGTTGCACATCTCACCTGAGTTGGCGAACACCTTGCTGCCGTCGGGAGAGAAGGCGACCCCGACGACCTCCCCGTTGATCTTCATGCTGCTCACCACCTCCCTGGTCTACAGGTCACATGACATGAGTTATTACACTGCTGATTGGTCTGTAATGTGAAGAGAAGAAGAAAAGCTCACCTTCAGAGTGAGCAGGTGCAGGTAGCCTCTGGTCCCGCTCAGCAGCAGAGCGCCTCCTTCAGGACACACGGAGAACTCCTTCACCCTCGCCTCGTTCAGACCTGAGACACACAGCTGCTGTTAGAGACAGTAACCCCTAGATTCCACCGGGTCCGTCTGCGGCGCGTTACGGCCGTGTGTGTGTATATATATATACACACACACACACACTCATTGTGCAGACCCTATCCCTCCGTAGTCTTTCAAGTAGGAGGAGCAATGCCAGCGTTCTCCTCCGGTTTACAGGCACTGTGTAAATTATATATATAGAATAATTATGATGATGAATGCACTACCACTAAAATACAGCAACACATCTTTGATTCATGTCGTTTATAACTGGGATATTACAGTTATTATTAACTCTGTCTGTACAAAGTAGCCTGTCCAGGAAATATGCCCAAATCAACAAAAACTGCGAGCCGGCAGGCAAGACGCTCCGCTTCTGAAACGCGCCTGGTAGGGTATGACGCTGGAGGAGGCCGGACCAAAACCGCGGCGCAGGTTAGTGAGTGTGTGTGTGTGTGTGTGTGTGTGTGTGTGAATGTGTGTGTGTCTGTGTGTGTGAGAGTGTGTGTGTGTACCTCTGACGGAGGTGACAGGTGTCACTTTCCCCTCCATCATGTCGTACAGGTAGAACATCTTGTTCCTCAGACTGGTGGCGATCACCATCTCTCCGTCCCGACTGAACGCCGCCCGGTGGACCGGAAACTTCTCCAGACGGATGCTCTGGATCTGAGGGTTGGACTTCCCGTCCACCTGCACACACACACACTTGAATACTTTATTTGGTTCCACAAATTATATTTCTCACACACACACACACACACACACACACACACACACACACACACACACACACACACACACACACACACACACACACACACACACACACACACACACACACACACACACACACACACACACACACACACACACACACACACACACACACACACACACACACACACACACACACACACACACACACACACACACACACACACACACACACATCACACACACACACACACACACACACACACACACACACACACACACACACACACACACACACACTTAAAGTGTGTGTGTCCAGGTGTCTGACCTGGAACAGGCTCAGTGATTGGTCGAGGCCGGCGGTCATGACGACCTGAGCGTTGGGGTGGAACTGCACGGAGGTCAGAGCGTCTGGAGAGGGCCGAGCCGCGTTGGCATGGAGACACTTCTTCATCTGGAACAAAATATCATCTCTGAGGAATGAGTTCAGACACATTTATATATTTTATAATAATGTGTGTATGTTTGGTATTGATGGATCAGCTGACCCTCAGGATGCTGCCGGGCAGACGCTCTGAAGACCCCAGGAAGTCCCCCGTCCTCCTCATCAGCTCATCGTCCTCATCATCATCCTCCTCATCATCATCATCATCATCATCAGCTGCAGGAACACAATGATCATCACATCAGTCATGCTGCAGATATTCAGAGAGACTAACGGTCCGTCCACACGGCGGCGTGCGTTGAAGCTTCAACGCTGCTTCCCATTCAATTTGAATGGGGTGACGTCACGCTTTGCCGAACTGCATTGTGGTTCCGTCGCTTCGCGTCGCTTCGCTTCGCTTCGCTTCGCTTCGCTTCGCGTCGCTTCGCTTCGCGTCGCTTCGCTTCGCTTCGCTTCGCTTCGCTTCGCGTCGCTTCGCTTCGCGTCGCGTCGCTTCGCTTCGCGTCGCTTCGCTTCGCTTCGCTTCGCTTCGCTTCGCGTCGCTTCGCTTCGCGTCGCTTCGCTTCGCTTCGCGTCGCTTCGCTTCGCTTCGCGTCGCTTCGCTTCGCGTCGCTTCGCTTCGCTTCGCGTCGCTTCGCTTCGCTTCGCGTCGCTTCGCTTCGCTTCGCGTCGCGTCGCTTCGCTTCGCTTCGCTTCGCTTCGCGTCGCGTCGCTTCGCTTCGCTTCGCTTCGCTTCGCTTCGCGTCGCGTTGCTCGCTTCAAAAGTTGAGCAATTTTCAACTTTTGAAGCTTCGACGGAAGCGTCAGCCAATCAAATCATATGCCAGTACAAGCTCTAGCCAATCAAACCGCATGCTTGTGTGTCCGGGGCGGGAGATTCATGTGATTGGTTGTTGGTCGAGCTTCCGTCCGTCCACACCGCCGTGTGGACGGGCCGTTATGGCGTTTTTCCACTGCAGGACCTCGAACTAGGCCGATGGGGGGGGGGGGGGGGGGGGGTATTTGGTTTCACACCAAAAAGGATCTGGAACTAGGGACCCCCAGATCGTCCCTGCTAGAGAGGTGGTACTTTCTGAGGAGGAAATGGTTCGTGGGTGTGTCGGCCAAACTAACAATTTCTGATTGAAACCACGCCCCGTAAAACTCCGAAAGGTTTTGTGAAGCCGCCATTTTATTTGCTCGCATTAGCATTAGCATTAGCCCAGCGCACCAACGCAGAGAGACTAACTTATAGCAACACAAAAGAAAACATGGGAGCGGTGGAGATGAGGAGGTGTCGGCGCTTCTGGCGATTTACTCTGAAGACGCGACCCAGCAGCTTCTACTGAAGCCAGTCCCCGACTCGGGGACTCCAGGTGGCAGTATATGCCGTGAAGTTGTTTGCGGCCTGCCAGTAAACCCAAAGCAGAAGAAGAAGAAGTGACGTCAGCGGCTTCCTTTGCGTAATCCTCCCTCAGGGAGAACGTGATCTGCTAGGACAGTTCCAGGGACTACAGAGCTCGGGGGGACTAAGTACGGCAAAGTACTTGGTGTGAAAGCGGCTGTCTCTTCTCTGCTCCAGACGACAGTTTGTTAAATCTGTTCTCAGAAGGTTGGGTGTACGTTCACACAGAAAAACTCTAACAGATTATAAACTGTAAACAAGTCACATGCACGGGAATGCTGTTCAACGATTGGGTAAAAACGCAAATCCCGGCAATTTCTACCGTAGCCTCCGCCATGGAGCATCGCAGGGTATTTTCATGCTGTTGTTAATCTGGAGAGCTGAGAGCATATAAACAGACTCCAGAGGACGGGGCGTATGATTAGACAACGTGCGATACAAAACATTATAAGACATATACTGAGAGACGTTGTGCAGAGTTCACCAGGAGCTCCAGAGTTCACCAGGAGCTCCAGAGTTCACCAGGAGCTCCAGAGTTCACCAGGAGCTCCAGAGTTCACCAGGAGCTCCAGAGTTCACCAGGAGCTCCAGAGTTCACCAGGAGCTCCAGAGCTCACCAGGAGCTCCAGAGTTCACCAGGAGCTCCAGAGTTCACCAGGAGCTCCAGAGTTCACCAGCAGCTCCAGAGTTCACCAGGAGCTCCAGAGTACACCAGGAGCTCCAGAGTTCACCAGGAGCTCCAGAGTTCACCAGCAGCTCCAGAGTTCACCAGCAGCTCCAGAGCTCACCAGCAGCTCCAGAGTTCACCAGCAGCTCCAGAGTTCACCAGCAGCTCCAGAGTTCACCAGCAGCTCCAGAGTTCACCAGGAGCTCCAGAGTACACCAGGAGCTCCAGAGTTCACCAGCAGCTCCAGAGTTCACCAGGAGCTCCAGAGTTCACCAGGGGCTCCAGAGTTCACCAGCAGCTCCAGAGTTCACCAGGAGCTCCAGAGTTCACCAGCAGCTCCAGAGTTAGATTCAAACGGACTAAACAAGGCTGTGTGAACGAGACTCACCGTTCTTCTTCTTCTTCTTCTTCTTCACAGAGTTTTCCGCCCACGAAGGAGCTCCTCCCATCGACTTCTGGAACCTGAAGCACACACAGGTCAATGAGAGTGAGTGTGTGTGTGTGTGTGTGTGTCTGTGTGTGAGTGTCTCTGTGTGTGTGTGTGTGTGTGTGAGTGTCTCTGTGTGTGTGTGTGTGTGTGTGTGTGTGTGAGTGTCTCTGTGTGTGTGTGTATGTGTGAGTGTGAGTGTGTGTGTGTGTGTGTGAGTGTCTCTGTGTGTGTGTGTGTGTGTGTGTGAGTGTCTCTGTGTGTGTGTGTGTGTGTGTGTGTGTGTCTGTGTGTGAGTGTCTCTGTGTGTGTGTGTGTGTGTGTGTGAGTGTCTCTGTGTGTGTGTGTGTGTGTGTCTCAGTGTGTGTGTGTGTGTGTGTGTCTCAGTGTGTGTGTGTGTGTGTGTGTGTGGTGTGTGTGTCTCAGTGTGTGGTGTTGTGGTGTGTGTGTGTCTCAGTGTGTGTGGTGTGTGTGGTGTCTCAGTGTGTGTGTGTGTGTGTGTGTGTGTGTCTCAGTGTGTGGTGTGTGTGTGTGTCTCAGTGTGTGTGTGTGTGTCTCAGTGTGTGTGTGTGTGTGTGTCTCAGTGTATGTGTGTGTGTGTGTCTCAGTGTGTGTGTCTGTGTGTGTGTGTGTGTCTCAGTGTGTGTGTGTGTGTGTGTCTCAGTGTGTGTGTGTGTGTGTGTGTGTGTGTGTCTCACTGTTCTCTCATCCTCAGCTGGAGCTTGCTGCTGCTCAGCGTCTCCTCAGCTTCTCCTCTGATCAGATCTCTGCGGAATCGATGCTTCATGTCCACCCTGAAGAAGAGCCTCCATTACAACTGGTTATATTTATACAGACACCACAGAAGAAGAGTCTTTCAGACACCACAGAAGAAGAGTCTTTCAGACACCACAGAAGAAGGTCCTTTCAGACACCACAGAAGAAGGGTCTTTCAGACACCACAGAAGAAGACCTCACTGCTCCCTCCCGCTCATCGTCTTCATCGATCCAAACCGCCTCTCTTTTGTTCGCTCGCCCTTCCTCCTCCGAGTCTGCGGACTCATCGTCTCCGTCGTCCAATGAGACGCTCGTCTGCTGCTTGTCCACCTGCGGACAGGAAGTGATGTCAGAGCAGGTAAACACACCTGGAGGCCTCAGGTTTAAACACCGAGTACAGCAGCAGAAGAAGAAGAAGAAGAAGAAGAAGAAGAAGAAGAAGAAGAAGAAGAAGATGGACCTTAGAACACAGCAGCTCTACAGGTGATGAGTGACAGCCTCTCCTCACCTGTAGAGCTGCTGTTGGTCTCAGGTATGTTCCTCACCTGAGACCCCATTAACCCCTCAGTACAGGTCAGTTACCTGAGACCCCATTAACCCCTCAGTACAGGTGAGTTACCTGCAGACCCCATTAACCCCTCAGTACAGGTGAGTTACCTGAGACCCCATTAACCCCTCAGTACAGGTGAGTTACCTGAGACCCCATTAACCCCTCAGTACAGGTGAGTTACCTGAGACCCCATTAACCCCTCAGTACAGGTGAGTTACCTGAGACCCCCATTAACCCTCAGTACAGGTGAGTTACCTGAGAAGACCCCCATTAACCCTCAGTAACAGTGAGTTACCTGCAACCCCATTAACCCCCTCATTACGGTGAGTTTACCTGAGACCCCATTAACCCCTCAGTACAGGTGAGTTACCTGAGACCCATTAACCCCTCAGTACAGGTGAGTTACCTGAGACCCCATTAACCCCCTCAGTACAGGTGAGTTACCTGCAGACCCCATTAACCCCTCATACAGGTGAGTTACCTGCAGACCCCATTAACCCCTCAGTACAGGTGAGTTACCTAGACCCCACTTAACCCCTCAGTACAGGTCAGTTACCTGAGACCCCATTAACCCCTCAGTACAGGTGAGTTACCCTAGACCCCATTAACCCCTCAGTACAGTGAGTTACCTGCAGACCCCCATTAACCCCTCAGTACAGGTGAGTTACCTGAGACCCCCATTAACCCCTCAGTACAGGTGAGTTACCTGAGACCCCATTAACCCTCAGTACAGGTCAGTTACCTGAGACCCCATTAACCCCTCAGTAACAGGTGAGTTACCTGCAGACCCCATTACACCCCTCAGTACAGGTCAGTTACCTGAGACCCCCCATTAACCCCTCAGTACAGGTGAGTTACCTGAGACCCCATTAACCCCTCAGTACAGGGTGAGTTACCTGCTAGACCCCATTAACCCTCAGTAACAGGTCAGTTACCTGCAGACCCCATTAACCCCTCAGTACAGGTGAGTTACCTGCAGACCCCTATTAACCCCTCAGTACAGGTGAGTTACCTGCAGACCCCCATTAACCCCTCAGTACAGGTCAGTTACCTGCAGACCCCATTAACACCCTCGTACAGTGAGTTACCTGCAGACCCCATTAACCCCTCAGTACAGGTGAGTTACCTGAGACCCCATTAACCCCTCAGTACAGGTGAGTTACCTGCAGACCCCATTAAGACCCCTCAGTACAGGTGAGTTACCTGCAGACCCCATTAACCCCTCAGTACAGGTGAGGTTACCTCAGACCCCATTAACCCCTCAGTACAGGTGAGTTACCTGAGACCCCATTAAAACCCCTCAGTACAGGTGAGTTTACCTGCAGACCCCATTAACCCCTCAGTACAGGTCAGTTACCTGAGACCCCATTAACCCCATCAGTACAGGTGAGTTACCTGCAGACCCCATTAACCCCTCAGTACAGGTGAGTTCCTTAGACCCCCATTAACCCCCACTCAGTACAGGTGAGTTACCTGAGACCCCATTAAACCCCTCAGTACAGGTGAGTTACCTGAGACCCCCATTAACCCTCAGTACAGGTGAGTTACCTGAGACCCCATTAACCCCTCAGTACAGGTGAGTTACCTGAGACCCCATTAACCCCTCAGTACAGGTGAGTTACCTGCAGGAGATGGTCCAGCAGCTGCTCCTCCCCCCCGAACAGCAGGTCCTCCAGCAGCCTCACGGACTCGTCCTCCTCTCCCAGAACCGCCACAAGGTTCTGGTTCCTGACCCGGCGCTGACCCCCTCCTCGGGGTCAGGGGCCAGCGGGGGGGGGGGCTGCTTCCTCTTCGGGGGGCGGGGCTGCTTCCTCTTCAGGGGCCGGGCTTCTGCGTCAGGGGGAGGGGGTCCGGCATCAGGGGGAGGGGCTCTGACATCAAGGGGAGGGGCTCCGGCATCAGGGGAGGGGCTCCGACATCAAGGGGAGGGGCTCCGGCATCACTTCCTCCATGATGAGAAGAACTGCTAACAGAACCAGAACCAGGTTAATGAGAACCAGAACCAGGTTAATGAGAACCAGAACCAGGTTAATGAGAACCAGAACCAGGTTAATGAGAACCAGAACCAGGTTAATATAACCAGAACCAGGTTAATGAGAACCGAACCAGGTATGAGACCAAACCAGGTTAACCAGAACCAGGGTTAATGAGAACCAGAACCAGGTTAATGAGAACCAGAACCAGGTTTAATGAGAACCAGAACCAGGTTAACCAGAACCAGGGTTAATGAGAACCAGAACCAGGTTAATGAGAACCAGAACCAGGTTAACCAGAGCCAGGTTAATGAGAACCAGGTTAACCAGAACCAGGGTTAATGAGAACCAGAGCCAGGTTAATGAGGGTCTGCTTGGTGTACATGGGGCAGACATCAACAAGTTTCAATGGTATGTTATTGGTTATTGATTATAGTATGTTATTGATTATAGTATGTTATTGATTATAGTATGTTATTGATTATAGTATGTTATTGTGATTTTAGTATGTTATTGGTTATAGTATGTTATAGGTTGTATGTTATTGATTATAGTATGTTATTGGTTATTGATTATGGCCATATTCTTATGATGGTATGATTATTGAAAAGTACACAGCTCTGTTTCACATGAGTGTTCCCACAGATCTAGTCTCTTTATTTTGCCTCAAAGTGCACCAGATTGATTTAACTCTATAACTACAGGGCTTTCACTGGGGGAGCGAGGCTGAACATCGTGACGAGACATCCATCAACACCCCCAGGAGAAGCTGGTAGTGTAACATAGTGACGAGACATCCACCAACACCCCCAGGAGAAGCTGGTAGTGTAACATAGTGACGAGACATCCACCAACACCCCCAGGAGAAGCTGGTAGTGTAACATAGTGACGAGACATCCACCAACACCCCCAGGAGAAGCTGGTAGTGTAACATAGTGACGAGACATCCATCAACACCCCCAGGAGAAGCTGGTAGTGTAACATAGTGACGAGACATCCATCAACACCCCCAGGAGAAGCTGGTAGTGTAACATAGTGACGAGACATCCATCAACACCCCCAGGAGAAGCTGGTAGTGTAACATAGTGACGAGACATCCATCAACACCCCCAGGAGAAGCTGGTAGTGTCCTGCTGCCTGCCTGCCTGGCTGGGTGAGTGAGTGCCTGCCTGGGTGGGGGGGTGCCTGCCTGCCTGGGTGGGTGAGTGAGTGCCTGCCTGGCTGGGTGAGTGAGTGCCTGCCTGCCTGGGTGGGTGAGTGGGTGCCTGCCTGCCTGGGTGGGTGCCTGCCTGCCTGGGTGGGTGAGTGGGTGCCTGCCTGCCTGGGTGGGTGAGTGGGTGCCTGCCTGCCTGGGTGGCTGCCTGCCTGGGTGGGTGAGTGGGTGCCTGCCTGCCTGGGTGGGTGAGTGGGTGCCTGCCTGCCTGGGTGGCTGCTTAAATCCCGGCATGACTTATCGTTACAGTGGATGTAATGCTTTAATGGATCTTTAGCTCCAACCCCAGCTGCTGTATTTACAATGTGTTACTGAGCAGAGGAGAGGGTACTGACCTGCTGCTTTCACGTCCTCTTGGTTCAAGTCCTCTTAATTAACGTCCTCTTAATTAAGGTCTTCTTAATTATAGTCCTCTTGATTAAAAGTCCTCTTGATATAAAGTGACTTCTTGTGTTCCTCAGCTCCCTCGGTAGCTCCACATGTGGACCGTAGTGTTTTCTTCACGTGTTTCCGGGGTCACTCTGCACCGGGGAATGAAAGCCTGCCCCCTGGTGGTGCTCTTAATTTTCTCCTTCTATTGTGGGTATGACAGTTGGCAAACAGCCTTGAGGTGCATTCACCGCCACCTTCTGGACGGAGTGTGGATCAGCAGCACGATGTCTAAACTCTGCTCTGAACCCCTTCTCTATCTCCACTATGTCTGTTTCTCTTCAGTGCTTCCTTCAGTAATGGATGGTATTGCGACATAGCAGAAAGATGTGCTCCACTGTTTCATAATGACCACAGTATTCACATGTGCCTGTTTCATGATTTTCATAGTGAATAATGTGTTATTGATCCCTCCTCCTTCTTCCGTGTAACGTCAGAGGTCCGACTCGGTGTCGTGTAGCCACACTCTCAGCTGAAGCGAGGCTCCTCCTGTCAGATGGAGGGAGTAAAGCTTTGGGACAAACTCCCCTCATCTCCTCAGAAACAGGAAATGCCGTAACTGTATGTAACAACGGTTTCAAATCAGCATCTCTTTGACAAAAAAATGTAAATTAATAACTCAAATAAAACTCCCCAACATCTTTAATTGTGTTACTTTTTTGTAAAGCTCTTTTAGTTTGAAACCTGATGTTTATAAGCTTCTTAGTTTTTGCAACAGTCTGTAAATATACACAACTTTATAATAAAATGCACAAATTTACCTTTTTCTAGACTAAACACAGGTAATGATCCTAAGTTAAAGTGGACCTATCATGCTATATTTGAATAATATAGTGTGTAGGACCATACCTATATAAGGCATATTTATACTTTTCTGTTTTCAAAATACCAAACAGATCATGCATTTTAGCCATGCCTCATTTTGCTCAATTTGCACTTTTTTTTAGCTCTGTTTTTGCAAGGGCTGATTCAGTGAGAGACAGCACCATCTACAGGCCTGGCATATGTACCACAGCGTCTCCAGCGCTTTCAAACGGCAATGGCCGTGGCTGTCTCCTACTGATTGGTGAGTTGGCCCAATAGCCGTAGCGCCACCGTC